TTTTCGGAAAATCACGATGAAAGTAAAAATTACCGAACTCTAATTCACAGATCTGTGAATCCATCGTACGAAGCTTTTCGCAAACTTTTTCGACCGGCATGGACCAGGACAACGGCTTCACAACTTCATTCATAATTGAAGTGGCCGATTCTGGCAAAGCGCCGATGTAAAAACACTGAAATGCGATGGCAGTATGCACTTACACTGACGAGGAAACAGCAGATAAAGAAAGAATATGAGCACGTGCAGTAAACTAGCTCAAAATATGATTTCTTTTAAAAACGCTTGAAAATGTTAATAAGTTGCGGATTCATCCATAAAAGATGCTCCAAACACTTCCCTTTTCTGCCAATAGAGGCTCAATTTCTAAAAAATTTTTCTTATGAGGTTATCTAGAGTTCTATCAATCCATCTCTCTTTTAAGTTCTCCAAAAAAACAAAATTCGTGAAAGCTGCTCTATATCGCTCAAAAGTAAAAATAAGTGAATTTTTGACAACCGCCCTTCAAAAAATGAAAACCGTAAAATTACTCTTTGAAAGGCGAATTCCAACGAAATAAGACGAATGATAGCGCTTTGACAACAGCACGGGTTCGCTGCCAAGAATGTTAAAGGATCATTCTTTTTAGAGTTGTGTAGGAACAAGGTGGAGATACGTTGCCTTCCGCCAATAACAACACAAATAGTTAATTGAAACGTAATAACAATTTTTTTTTTTTTTTTTTGCAATATTAACATTAAAATTACCAATCTTAAAAAGCAAATTCCGATTAAAATAAATCACCAATCTGAAGCAGCTGTTTTCCTCATTACTGAGTTCGAGCCAATAGTTCCAGCCACAGATCAGATACTAAGTAGCATTACAGCAAGTTGGCTAGGAGAGCAATGAAAACTAAATCTGTGAAAAAATAAAGAGGACCAACCAACTTGTTTTCTTTTCCCTTTGTTCCTCCGCAGTGCTCCCTCACCGCCTCGTCTATTTTCTTGGTGTTAGCGCGATCGCTTTCGGGCATCTCAGCCATCACATCGCGCAAGACTTTCTCACATACTGTAACAAAACTTTTTTCTCTTCTAAATAAAACGCAAACGTATGAATGCGTCAGCCTATCTGACCAGTGGTTATTTCGCCACTTCATAATGCTACTTGACACATGCTCTGCATATATATGGTGGGTAGGAAGCTACACTGATGATTCCCAGTCCTATCCGCTTGCTGTGTTCAGTTTGTGCTTACAGCTAAGGGATGAAACACAGAATGCATCCAAATACATCTTCTTGCGCATGATACTTAGTCTAATCTCTTATACCACTATTTTAAATGCATATCTTGCATTGTAGAAAGGGCAAATTCTCCTTTCAGGAAAACACCCTTGACCACTTTTCCGGATATACAACAGAAAGATATCTTCCACGTGAAATGTAACAAAGATGTGCAACGAATTTTTCTGTTTTTCGCAAGAGCATTATAAATGAACTCACCTTCCATTCACAACTCAACCATGTCCTTTATTCAAATGTATATGCAAGGAGTGAAGAGGTTGCAAAAAGATATGCCTTTTTGACGGCCAGAAGTTTTAAAAGAGGAAAAAAAAAACTGTTCGAAAAGAATAAAAGTAATATAATATGACGGAAAGGCGGAGGCGGGCAAGATGAGGTGAAGGGAGGAAAAATGGCCGGGCGTGATGAACAGCAATACTTTAGAACTGAAGGCGATAGAATGTAGGCAATCTAGTGTTCCAGAAACTGCGCGTAAACGTGTGCGTACAAGGT